TGCTTAAGTGTATTCTTTTATCAGCTCCGTGATGGCTTTTTAAATGGCAGTGTCATCCATGCCAGTGGCTCTTATTAGAAGTTGCTACTTAGGAAATATTGAGTAATGCAGAAATATTTGCAGGCAACCTCTGTGGCCCAGAGGGCTCTGCTTTTGTCATGGTTAAGACATTCTCACACTCGTAACCTTGGCTTACGCTTTGACAATAGATTATGAAGGAAGGAAGGTGAGACTGAAGTGTGTGTGGTCGCAAGGGCAGTAGCCAGGTATGTGGTCCAGTGGGCCGGGTCAGGAGGGAAGGAAGGGATGTGTAAAAAGAAGCCCCATGAGGGCAAACATTTTTTGTTTTGTTCACTGCCCCGTCCCTGGTGCTTTGACTCATGCCTGGCTCATAGAATCTGTGAATTGAATCTGAGTCAAGTAAAGTCTATAGAATGGCGCTGTTATTTGCTCCATCAATGACCACGTCCTTTATTCAGTGTAAATAGGCAAATAAAACTACCCCCCATAGATACTTTAAAGCCCATTTATTACTCTTTCCTGATAAGAGATTAGTTGTTCATCAGATATTTGAATGGAGCATGCAGCCTGTGCAGGGAAGTGTGCTGCTCACCGTGAGGACACAGATATGTCTTCTAGGAGTTTACTGTTAAACAAAGTAGTATAGGAGTTACTGGTACCAAACGCAGGTATGTGTGCCCCACGCACAGTGAGGCCAGACAAACCGAAACGTAAACATGGGAGTTTGGAGCAGAGAAAGGTTTATTGCAGGACCAAGCAAGGAGAACAGGTGGCTCGTGCTCACAACCCCCAAACTCTCTGATGGTTTTCGGGGAGAAGTTCTGATAGGCAGAATTTGGGGTGAGGGCTGCAGAGTGTGTGGCTTTCTTCTTCTTCTGGTGGTGAGGTAACAGGGTGGTGCTCTAGGAATCTTGTGCTCAGCCTGAAGTTACCATCCTCCACCTGGGTGGGGGCCTTAGTTCCTGTAGAAGAACTCAAAGATATATATGTTTTTTAATTTATTTATTTTATTTATTTATTTTATTTATTTATTGTTTCTGGCTGCGTTGGGTCTCTGTTGCTGCGTGCAGACTTTCACTAGTTGCGGCGAGCGGGGGCTACTCTTTGTTGCAGTGCGTGGGCTTCTCATTGCGGTGGCTTCTCGTTGTGGAGCACAGGCTCTAGGCATGAGGGCTTCAGTAGTTGTGGCACGTGGGCTCAGTAGTTGTGGCTCGCAGACTGTAGAGTGCAGCTCAGTGAACTCAAAGATATTGTTATATATGTTCCTTGAGGAGGAACCGGGACCCTGCCCATTGCTGCACTATAGTTTCTTGACTGCTCCTTCTTTGTTTCTGCATTCCTTCCCTTCCCTGATTAGTAACTGTTTGAGTCTGTCCTTTGGTACTCAGGGAAGGTCTAGGAGGCTAAAATTTTTTTCCTGCAAACAAGAAACAGGGGACCCGGAAAGGATTTGTACCCGGGAGGCTCCCACAGGGTCCTGTCCGGTTTCAGTGCCAGGAGAGAGGACAGTGTGAACAGGAATAGTCAGGGGAGACTTTGGGAAGGAAGTGGCCCTTGATTGAGCCTTAAAGATAGGTAGAGGGGCTTCCCTGGTGGCACAGTAGTTAAGAATCTGCCTGCCAATGCAGGGGACACGGATTCAAGCCCTAGTCTGGGAAGATCCCACATGCCACGGAGCAACTAAGCCTGCGAGCCACAACTACTGAGCCCACATGCCACAACTACTGAAGCCTGCGCGCCTAGAACCCGTGCTCCGCAACAAGAGAGGCCACCACAATGAGAAGCCCGCGCACTGCAACGAAGAGTAGCCCCCGCTTGCCGCAACTAGAGAAAGCCCGCGTGCAACCAATGCAGCCAAAAATAAGTAAATTACTTAAATAAATAAATTTATAAAAAAACAAGACAGAATTCCATCAGCTATGGCCAAAACGTTGCAGTGGCAATATAAAACTTTGTGGGGAGAGTGTGTTTTAATTCAAACGTTACGTCAGATCTTCTCTTTGGGCAGGGTGATGTCAGAGTTTGAGAGCCCCCAGCCGCCCTGGGCTGGTAGGATGCTGCATGGCTTGTGGAGGCAGTTGGGGGGCAGAGGCCTGGGGGCCAGCGCTGCTGGTGCTTCCGCCTCCTACTGGGTGGGCTGGTTGAGGCTGGAAGGAAGCAGCAGCCAGGAAGGAAGGTGGCAGTGAGAGCGACCCCACCTTTACCTCTGAGGAGGGCAAAATGACCAGGTGGACTCCGACTGAGAGTTTTCTATTGCTTTCAAGCTTTAACATGCTGAAGGTACCATAAAATGGAAATATTCTGTCAGAAATGGGAGGCAGTCTTTAGACTGAAATTAAAATGAGAAGCTGGTAGTCATGGGGGGTCCTGGGGATTAACTGTTAGGAACAATGGAGATGGAGGATGAGCTGATGCTACGCGGGCATGCCGGGAATCTTCTAAGAAAACCCAGAATGAGAAGATCATAATTTCAAAGTATATTCATGTCAGGATGATGGTTAGCGCACTTACTAAAGATTCACTGGAAGATAATTGTTGAGCAAATATTTGAGTGCCCTCTCCGTGCAAGGAACCACATAAAAGATGAAGCAAAAGAGTCGTTTCCTCTAAAGAATCCCCAGTCTGGAGAGCGAGATGTGACCCAGTTACAGTGGGGGCTTCCACGATGAGTGATATAATAGAAATGTGGACCAAGGTGCTGAGGACTGGGGATGGTTTCTGATTTCGAGATCCACAGAAGTTTGCTCAAGAAGATACAGAGATGTCACACACAGGTGGGACAGTGGCTTTCTAGACAGAGAGATGTTGGAGAGCAGAAGAATTCAAACTTAAAAGGGAGTGGTTTGGGCCTGGAACCTGGTGCTGCCAGGAAGGGTGGCTGAACTGTAGGCTTCAGGTAGGGGAGGGGAGAGAACGTGTTTTCTTCCTGAACTTTGTTCTGTAAGAAGTAGGGATCCATTGAAGGTTTGGAGAGGAAGAATGGCATCAGTAGGACTGTATGTTAGAAAGATGCTTCTGGGGACGGTGAGGAGAATGGGTGGAGGAGGGGTGGCGACTGGGGGGCTGTTTGAGGGCCGTTGCAAGAGCCCAGGGGAGAGATGTCAGAGGCCTGGGGTCTCCGAGTGGAGGTGCAGAGGAGGGTTGTTCGAGAGCTTCGGTACGTTTCCTAAATCTGAAAGCTCTCTTCTAAAGTTAAATCAGATTCAATTTGTTAAAAAAAAAAAAAAAAAAAGATGCTTTTGACAAATACAAATCTTTGTTGAGCCCTCTCGGTGTCATTGGTGTGGGCTGAGGTCTCCCCGTTTTAAGGAATGGAGCCACAAGGAAACTTGGGAGTCGTCGGACGGGGGCAGGAATCGGGAAAGGATAGTGATCCGTGTGGAAATTCCTGCTCCTTTGGCCCTGCTTTTGTTGTATACCAGCCTGTCCTAGCGCTCTTCCAGCCTCTCCTGCTGCTTCTTTTTCTTCCTCCCCCATAAACAAAGACATTTCCCAAAGTTCTGTACTTGCTTTTTACATCCCATCCAAATACTTCTAGCTCTAATGTTTCTGCTCTTCACTTGGGCAAATGGCCTCTCAGCCTGTTTGCTCAGAGGGTAAAGTGGGATAGATTATGCGCCTGCCTCAGAGAGAGTTGTGAGACTTGAATGAAACACTGCATAGAAAACACTGCCTAACCCTTGAAGGAAAGTAAGTGCTCAATAAATAAGCATCTAGTACATATTTCCATGCTTACGGTATTCCGTCATTTTTTATATTGACGTAAATTTAATCTCCCCTTTCTTTTGAGTTCTTTGATGGTTTGGTATTATTTTTCGATCTTAAGTGTCGAGCACTGTACTTGCCCAGTAAGAGTTCAAAATGTGATCTTACTGCCTTTTGTCTGCCAGATTGATATTTCAGATTCCTCATCAGTAGGGCATGGGGTTGACCTTTCCTAGGGATGGATGGATGACCTTCACATCCTTTTCTCCTCTGCTTGGGACCAGGGGTCCCATTTATGGAACGGCTGACTGGCGCTGGCGGCTGGGGAACAAAAGAGCAAACACGGACGGTCCTGCCCCTCGTGACCACAGCCTTGCTGCCTGCACATATTGTCTTCGTTAGATGAGTAATCTAACAAATGAGAAACCACATTCATTTTACAACCATCAGAATGAAATTTCAGGACTGAACAGGAAAAGGGGGTCCTTTTCATGAGAGAGGAGTGTTGTCGTGTAAATAGGCAGCTAAGAGTTGGCTGATGTGACTGTTGGCGGCTGTGGGGTACTGTTGAGCCCGCAGGCAGAGGAAATGCAATCAGGAAACGGGGAAGCTGCGCTCTCTACAGAAAAGCAAGGCTGAAGCATGGCAGTTTATAAACTAGGCTTGTGTTGGAATAAAGGGTGTGGGCTTGGAGACTCTGCTCACTGGCTGTCTCCGTGGCTTTTTTCTTTTGGATACCTGTTGACCAGGGAAAGTTAGCCTTGTAAAGACCAAGAGATAAACGAGGGAGGGATTTTAGTGACTTTGTCATCTGTAAAGTAGGATTTGGGTTGGATGAGAAACCTTAATTCCCTCTAGGAGTGTTAAAACACAGGTCCTTGTAGATTCGTTGCTCAGCCCCAGAATTTCTAGGATGGTCCAAGCTGAGCCATTGGACCAGTTCTACAAGCTTGTTGAGCGAAGTTGTTGCTGGTAGACCGTCCTCTAATTGACTTGAGGCTGTCTAAATCCTGTGGCATCATGTCTGTGAAATCTGATTGCTATTCTCCTTCTATTATTTAATGTCAACTTATACTTCAGTATTGCATTTTCTGCTAGAAATAATATAATATTGTAAAGTCCAACAGCAAATCTCTTCCTGCGCTTGATGTTTCAATACCCCCATCCCTCATTATTCAGTGTTGGGCTGCATATGCATTTTTCCTAGTTGGTCGTCTCATTATTTGATGAACACTGCCCTTAACAAGTCATGTGATGTTATCCTCTATTTCTAGCTATTGTGGACGACGAAAGACTCTCGGCAGAGGAGATGGATGAGAGGAGGCGGCAGAATATCGCGTATGAATATTTGTGCCACCTGGAGGAAGCCAAAAGGTAAGATTCAAACTTAGTCTATTTGTGCACCTTCTCTTGGAGATGAGCTTTGGGGTACTGTATTTTTAATAACTCATCTGCAGCCTTTTTGGTAGTAAGGTAATGGGAGAAGAACCACCTGTGTTTTGTAAATGGCACAACTGAGAAAAAGTTGCTACCACAGCCATGGTCAAGGCACTAGGGAGGCAACTGTTCCTTCTTCTTAGAACCTCCTAAGAAATCTCTAGGCAAATTGCAGATTATTTCAGAATTTCTCATCTCTCTGGCATGGATATAGGGAAGCAGCAGAGACTTAAATCAACTTCCTTTTCCTCCAGAGCCGCCTCATATCTTTTCCCCAACTCTACCCCAATGATTATAATTATTACTACTCTTATTAATCAATGTATAATTATATATTCCTATATGCCCAGTAGAAAAATAGCATTTCAGACTGAAGTCCATCGTTCACTAAGCTGGAGAGTAGGTTTATGACAGCAATCTCCTTTTTAACCCATGGGTGTGTGACCGCTTAGGATATGTTGTCTCTAAAATCACACTGACTCTTTTAGACTTTTTAGATTACAAGTCAATGTTGGGTTCTTCAAGGAGAAAGTGAAGATAAAGTATTTGCACTTAGGCCTCGGTATCAGGGGAATCAGAACTTTGTCCTTTGCTGGGTGCATACTGCAGTGCCCATATGCCATGGGTTAGATTCTAATTTAATGCTTTGTGCTGTGATCAAGCAACAGTATTGTTTCATGGACAGATATGTTCCAGCTCTCTCATCTCTGTAGAAAATAAACATGGAGTTAATGGTCATTGGTGTTAATTATCTCTGATCACTGATAAATAACTACCTACAGAGCTAGAAGAATGAGGTTTCTAATCACTGTTTTGTAGAAGAACATTCAGTGACACATGCACTAATTTGGCCTCAAAATTGCTTAAAAGGGGGGTTTTCAAGGTTGTTTAATGTTTTAACAGAGCCTTGTAGCTCTAAGCTCTAAAGGCTCAGTTTTTAAGGTTATTTAATGTGTCTGGAAGTTGACAGTTAGGTTGCAAGTCACTGAAGACTCACCGTCAGTCTAAGATTATTAAAAACATGCTTTTAGTCAAATTGTGGCTAAAGTTAGATAGGGAGAGGGATTCACAGACATTCAAAATAAACATGCTGGACTTTCCTGGTGGCGCAGTGGTTGGGACTCCACCTGCCAATGCAGGAGACACGGGTTCAAGCCCTGGTCCGGGAAGATCCCACATGCTGTGGAGCAGCTAAGCCCGTGCACCACAACTACTGAGCCTGTGCTCTAGAGCCCACGAGCCACAACTACTGAGCCCACGTGCCACAACTATTGAGCCCGCACACCTAGACCCCGTGCTCCACGAGAGAAGCCACTGCAGTGAGAAGCCTGTGCACGGCAACGAAGAGTGGCCCCCGCTCGCCATAACTAGAGAAAGCCCGTGCACAGCAACGAAGACCCAATGCAGCCAAAAATAAATAAATTTATTTTTTTAAAAAAAGACAAAGTTTAAAGAAAAAAAAATCAACGTAACAATTAGCCCAAGTTCTTTGAAGAAAGCTTCCTTAGGAATAGTTTTGTTGAAAGAATAGATTGTAAAATACACAGCTTTTCCTCTAGGATGGTTTTCATAAATTTATCTTAAAAGAAGAGATTAGATGTAATATGTATTTATGAATCTTTTATTAATATCTGAACACTTATTATGACTTTCAGGGAAGTTGTTTTTTTTTTTGTTTTTTTTTTTTTTGCGATACGCGGGCCTCTCACTGTTGTGGCCTCTCCCGTTGCGGAGCACAGGCTCCGGACACACAGGCTCAGTGGCCATGGCTCACGGGCCTAGCCACTCCGCGGCATGTGGGATCTTCCTGGACCGGGGCACGAACCTGTGTCCCCTGCATCGGCAGGCGGACTGTCAACCACTGCGCCACCAGGGAAGCCTAGGGAAGCTGTTTTTTGGTTATGGAGTATGTAAGAATTATGTGGCTATTAATAGATATGTTTGTTATGATTTCAGAAAGCATAGTGTACAGAATTCGATGGTCCTGAACTCAGGAAATAAATGAAGGAGTGAGTTAGTATTCAAAAAGTTATTTATTTGAAAGGGTTTATTGCCTGACTCTTTTACAATGTTAATGCCTTAGGAATTTATCATACCGGGTTTATTATAGTGCATGCACGTGTGTGTTCATGTGAGTGTAGCTGCCTCAGAATATTGAATTTCTACTGAATGGTACACTTAGAATGTGAAAGTTTAGCTAGGAAGTGTTTCTTGTTTATTTCAGTTGAACTGACTTTGGTGCATTTCAAGTAGAGATGCATTGGGTTTGTCTTTGTGCCTCGATTTTTTCTTTCCAAGGGTGAGAACTGGAAGGATACCTAGCCTATATGTCCTGTAACTCAAAATTTTTTAAAATTCAGAGTTGTAAGAGTCCAGTGTATCTTTAAGTTTGGTTTTATTACTTTCAAGATTCTGTGATCATTAATCTCAGACCATTTAAAAGTTGCTTCATTCAGAGGAGGATATCACTACCAACACTATAGAAATAAAAAGGATGTTGACGGAGTGCTATGAACAATTATATGCCAACAGATTAGTTAACCTAGATGAAATGTACAGATTCCTAGAAAGACACAAACTACTAAAACTGACTCAAGAAGAAATTTTAAAAACTGAATCGATGTAAAACAAGTAAAAAGGATTGAGTCAATACTCAGTAAACTTCCCGCTCTTCCAAACCATGTAAGAGGAGAGAACACTTCCTAACTCATTCTGTTGAGACCAGTATTACTCTGATACCAAAACTAAAGGTACCTCAAGAAAACTACAGACCAGTATCCCTTATGGATACAAATACAAAAATCCTCAACAAACTCAAACTGAGTTCAGCAACATCTAAAAAGGATTGTATACCATCAAGTGGGATTTATCCCAGCAATGCAAGCTTAGTTTAATCTAAAAATCATTCAATCAAGACAATTCAGTGGGGGAAGAAAAACAGTCTTTTCAACAAATGATGCTGAGACAACTGGATATATACATGCATAAAAATGAATTTGGATCCCTACCTCATACCATATACAAAAATTATCCTAAAATGGTTTTGTTAATCTAAATGTGTGAACCACGACTGTAAATCTCTTAGAAGAAAGCACAGCAGTAAATCTTTGTGACCTTGGATTAGGCAGTGGTTTTGAGACTTGACACCAAAGGCACAAGCCAAAAAAAGAAAACTAGATAAATTAGACATCGTGAAAATTAAACCTTTTTTATTCAAAGAGATGCCATCAAGAAATTGAAAAGACAACTCATGGAATGGGGGAAAATATTGGCAAATCATATATTTGGTAAGAGACTTGTATTCAGAATATATAAAGAACTCTTACAGCACACCATAGAAAGTAAATAGCCTAATTTAAAAATGGGCAGGGCTTCCCTGGTGGCGCAATGGTTGAGAGTCCGCCTGCTGATGCAGGGGACACGGATTCGTGCCCCGGTCCGGGAAGATCCCACATGCCGCGGAGCGGCTGGGCCCGTGAGCCATGGCCGCTGAGCCTGCGCATCCGGAGCCTGTGCTCCGCAACAGGAGAGGCCACAGCAGGGAGAGGCCCGCGTACCGGAAAAAAAAAAAGGGGGCAAAGTTTCTGAATAGACATTTTTCCAAATAAGATACACAAATGAACCGTAAGAACAGGAGAGGATGCTTAACATCAGTCATTAGGGAAATGCAAATCAAAACCACAGTGAGATACCGTTTCATGCTAGGATAGCTATAATCAAAAAGAATGACAATCACAAGTGTTTTTTGTTTTTTTTTTTGCGGTACGCGGGCCTCTCACTGTTGTGGCCTCTCCTGTTGCGGAGCACAGGCTCCAGACCACAGGCTCAGCGGCCATGGCTCACGGGTCCAGCCGCTCCGTGGCATGTGGGATCCTCCCGGACCGGGGCACGAACCTGTGTCTCCTGCATCGGCAGGCGGACTCTCAACCACTGTGCCACCAGGGAAGCCCCAATCACAAGTGTTTTTAAGGATGTAGAGAGATTGGAACCCTCGTACATTGCTGGTTGGATTGTAAAATGGTGGAGCTACTTTGTAAAACAGTCTGGTAGCTCCTCAAAAAATTAAATACCGAGTTACTATATGATCCAGCAATTCCACCACTAGGTATATCCCCAAGAAAATTGAAAACCTATGTCCACACAAAAACCTGCACACAAATGTTCATTCAAGTGTTATTCATTAGAGCAAAAAGTGGAAACAACTCAAATGTCCGTCTACTGATGAATGGATAAACAGTGTGTGATATATCCATATAATGAAACATTATTCAGCTATAAAAATGTATTAGCAAATCAGATTTAACAGTGTATAAAAAGAACTATATAAATCACAACCAAGTGGAATTTATCCCAGGTTTGCAAGGCTGGTTCAACATTTGAAAATCAGTTAATGTGCTTCATCACATCAACAGTCTAAATAAGAAAAAATCATATGATTATATCATTAGATGCAGAAAAAGCATTTGACAAAATTCAGTACTTATTCATGATAAAAATTCTTAGTGAAGTAGGAATATAGGGAAACATCCTGAACTTGAGAAAGACTATTTACAGAAACCCTACAGCTAACATCATACTTCCTGGTGAGAAACTTGAAACTTTCACACTAAGATCAGGTACAAGCCAAGGGTATTCCCCCTCATCGCTCCTTTTCAATATTATAGTGGAAGTTTTAGCTAATGAAATAAAACAAGAAAGGGAAATAGATGATATACAGATTGGAAAGGAAGATAAAATCTTTGTTTGCAGATGACATGATTGACAATATAGAAAACCTGAAAGAATAAAAAAAAAATCCTGGAACTAATAAGCAATTATAACATGCTTGCAGGATACAAGGTTAACATACAAGTCCATTGCTTTCCTATGTACCAGCAATGAACAAGTGGAATTTAAAAGTAAAATACATTACCATTTACATTAGCATCCCCCAAAAT